ATTCTTTATTCATCCAAGTACATTGTACAATTGAATAGGGTCAGCAATCAATTATTATTCTAATGATACATGTTTTAATATTGGTTTGTTTAAGAGGTAGGTTAACAAAGTCATCCAGCGAGTAAATAACTTTGTTAATTAAATGTATTCTTTTTTAATATTTTCTGGGATTTTTTAAAAAGCTTTTTCACCAGCATATGTTGGTTTTTTTAGTCTGTATTGATTTCTCCTTATAGAGTTCTATTTTATAGTGTTATAATAATGATATATAGGCTCGTGGGGGACATCATTAGGAATTTTGTTTTTTGCACATAAAATGACGTCAGGAACATATTAACCATAATCCGTTAGTATTTTTAACTGTCTGAAATGATCTCTGGCCGAATAATCTATATTCAATTTCAGCATTAATCTTATATACCCCTTTTGGGGTCTTAACATACAATCCAAAGATTTGTTTTTTTTTTTTTTTTTTTTTTTTTTTTTTTTTTTTTTGCTCCAAATACAGTAGAACCCCTCATATCCGGCCTTGGTTTTACCGGTCCTCTGTTTATCCGGCCCCTTCCAGGAAGCCAATAAGAAAATGTTTTTCTCGCATCTTACAGACATTTAGATGCAAGCACTAGTCTTTGCGTTTACTCAAGTCATAAAATGAATTGTTCTCACTATTTATCTGTTTGTTTATAATTTATTTACTGTGTCACTATACTCAGTTGAGCTAGTAGGCCTAACCTCTGAACAGTTGGTTGATTATTTTCCAAAGTGGGGTTAGTACAGTACAGTACCGTACCGGTACATTAATTTTTGTATTTCACTAAGTGGATAAGAAAGTTGAGTAACTTATAAATGCATGTACCATTTAAGTCCTAATGATCTTCAAGTCCAATTCATTGTCATTTAACCTCCATTATTGTTTAATATTTTTTGTAGGCCTACCTGGAATCATAGTATTTGTACTATCATTACTTAACGACTTTAGCTTACAAATAATTTTTTTTCAGTTATAAACATGTTTATTCTTCTAAAAATAATCCCAGAACAGACTTGAATGATACTTTTGACTGCATATATTGATTAGATAATATTATTAGATCAATGGTCATTTTCATTGTAGGTTGGTTTATCCGGCCAAATCGTTAACCGGCCAGGGGCTTGGTCCCGTGGTGGTTGGATATGAGGGGTTCTACTGTAAACAAATGACAAAATAAATATTAGAATGTAAGTAAGCAAAATAATATTTTTAATGTTGTTAAATTACAAAAAAAAAGACATTTTTGAAAGTGAATGAATTCCAGAGTTAATTTTTATTAAGATCTTCTTTACATGTTCTTCAATAAAGGTGTGTTTATTGATAGTCAGGCCAAGAAAATTTGTACTTGACTTTGGATCAATTATGTGGGAATCAAACACTATCATTACCTAGTTCTGTTTGACCCCTATTTTGTGGAGTTTTAAATGTTATAAAATTGGGGTTTTTCATGATTTATTGTTAAATTTTGATACATTAAGTAATATCCAAGGTTTCCAAGTTCTATGAAAGCAGCCATTTCCGTTTGTTCAATTTTAGGTGTTTAAATGAGTAAGTTTATATCTTCAGCATACAGACATAGTTCACTGATAAAGGTTTACAGGAAAGTGCTTTGTCCATGTCCTTCACATAGCACAGGAATAGTTATTGTAAAGTCAAAAAGGTAAGTTTTTATTTTGCAAATCTTAAAAATCTGTTCCAACAAAAGACACAATTAAATCAATGCTTTTGCCTTTTAGGTAGAAACCTACAGACTTCAAAATCTAGTAGTTTAAATTTGGAAGAATAAGAAACCACCATTGAAAAATATAGTTACAGGCAAAATGATTCCCAACAAAACTTTCCAATACAGAAGAAGATCTTGTCTGAGTCACCCATTTTTTATAGATCCATGGACCTTTTCTATATACTTACCTTCACAGCATTTGAAAAGTACATTTCATTTCATGACAATCTTGGGTAGTTCTTTTGCATACAGCACTAAAATTAAGATAACAACCTTTCAACTAATTATGTTTTTTTTATGAATAAGACTATAAAGAAACTTTTAATGTCCCAAATTTTAAAAAGTTTTTAGTATTACGGTATACTCAAAGCTCATGATTTATAAAAAGTCACATGTAAATAAAAACAGTACCTTCTACAAATTCAGCCAGGCAGAAGATATATATATATATATATATTTTAATTGCTATATTGGGGGGAAAAATTTGCTATACTACTGTAAATCACCTTTTCATTATATGTTTATCACCTCCAAAAATTTTACATTACATTTTTTACTACAAAAAAAATGTCTACTATGCAATTGGTAGTATATTTCATAACAAGAGTAGAAAGTGAGTCATTACATATTTGAGACCATGTTTAAAGTGCAAGATTTATCGAGCACTTTAAATGGTCGAAAATTTGTATAGACTCACTTTCACTCGTGTTTTGAACGTTACTTTTCGCTACACTACAAAGAATAACTATTTTCTTCATTACAAAATTCATAGACATTTTTAGGTTATGCTTTCAATTTAAAATTAATGTTCCCCTTAGTTGTTGAAAATTGAAACAGTTGATAAAACAATAACAAATATTTGTTTGTTTACGTCGGCAAAATCCAAAAGATAGTAAACATTACTTTCGCATAGTAAACATTCTTTTGCTGTAGTAAACCATGTTATGATAGATTTTCGTAGGTGATAAACATGCAACAAAAACATGTCATTTCACAGTAGTGTAGCAAAAAAGTTTTTTTTAACATGTATTTTATTTACAATCTGTTCTATAATAGAACAATAAGTAAAATGTCATAACAATTTAACATGAGTTAATTTCACTCCAACGAGTGCACTAACATGCAAAACCAAACATTTTATAAACAAATTAAACTAGAACCATGCAAAAGTAATGTTGACTATCTGTTTTGAGCATACCGACATAAACAATCAACATTTGTTATTGTTTCATCAACTTTTTAAATTTACAACTCCAACTGTACACTCGATGTAAATTTGAACTTTAAATAATATTCTATTAGTTTTGAAATGTTCCTAACTGTAATAAAGAAATATTCCAATATCTAGTTTTAGGTTAAGAATAATTAGTCTTTGTTGTGTGTAGCGAAATTAACGTTCAAAACACGAGTGAAAGAGGTCATTACATATTCTCAACCATAATTAAAGTGCTCTAAATCTAAAACTTCAAACATAGTGGACTCACTTTCAACCCTTTTTATGAATTATACTATTCAGATATGCAACAAGATTGATCATTAAATTTGAAACTAAGGGTTTGTACAGTTATTACTACTTATTACTCAAATGATATGGTTCAAATTGCATAGTTTTAGCTACTTGTTCAATGTACAAATACAGTTATGTATATCAAAAAGTTATTATTATATTATGTATGTGTGGAAAGGCACTAATAAATATATTAAGTTACTGAGAAAATGTATTATAGTTGTTATCATGAGTCACTTTCCTTCCTGAAATATCTTTCTTTTTTTTTGTCTTAGGACACTAGGCACGAGCCCGAGATTGTTTTCACATTACTTCAGGCTAGACCTAGGGGTTGTGGCATTATCACTTAGATCAAATCCATTGGTGATTTTGCGGGATTTGAACCCAGGACCTCTTGGACCGAAGTCCCGCGCTCTAACCACTAGACAAGCTCGCTAACCCATTTAAAGATAGTATAAACAGCCCAACCACCATGGGGGAGTAACTGTGATGTTTTCTGGTAACTTTAGAGGATACTCTGCCTGTTGTGGTGCGGGTAGGAGGGCCGACGAGATCCATGCATCTCTGAAGCGGTCCACTTTGAGGCCAACCATAGAACGCCTCTCACTCACATTAAATATGAGTGCTGTTTGCATTGATTGACAAGGAACTGAGGAATTCCCAGAGATTCTAATGAAGGATGGAGACGAAACATTAGAAAATATAAATAGGATAATAACCAGTCCTCCTTCACTTGGTGTTGGTGTTGTCAGATCACAAGAAAAACTGATAACCAGTGTCTTTCTAGAAGTTCATGAACTACTTAACATGGATAGTGCCTGGCTCTGTGATTGTGCAATTCTGACATTTAAAATTATCAAGCAACCCAGATAAACATTTAGGCGATGGCTCTCTTCCATGTTAAAGAACGTACGTACAAATCAGTGAACACTGTCCGGTGAGAAGACGATTAAACTACCCGGCAGAGTTTTTTTTTAACTCAGTATCAGCAACCGATCATTGAAGCAAAGATTCTCATGGGTTTTGGTGCTGGGGAGTTGGTATTTATTCCAATAATTCCATTAATTCCTATCAACTACCCGTTTGAGTTTAAGCGGCTACAGTTCCCCGTCACAGTTTGCTTCGCTATGACAATTAATAAATCACAAGACCAGACGTTGTCCACAGCCGTGGTGGAACTGAGCAGATCAGCATGTTTCCCACACGGGCAGTTGTAAGTTGCGTGTTCTAGAGTGAGATCCAGCAAAAGCCTCTCCACTCATGCTCCGGGCGGCCAAACTGCAAACGTAGTGTATGAGGAGGCACTCAGATAAACCACACACATCCTCATTGTCAATGAAAGAAACCTTGGGTGAACGAAGGGGAAGATCTTCTAAATATCATATTTTAAACCACTTCTCATTTAAATGTTTTATTGTAATCTTTTGTAAAAAAATCCATATTATTATCCTTATGTTTAATAGTTTAACTGTCATTATTTACATACTTCTTTTTGATACACCATACTTACTATTGTGTTAGTTAACTCCTTTTTTTATTATTACTGTAAATTAAATTCTTGAATTTATACTTGACATAACAAGATTCCTCATTGTATTTTTTGTACCTACTGTATATTTTATTCAACCCTTACGTACACACACACACACACACACAGCTAGTAACATAATAAAATGAGACCCTGGCATACAGCATCAAATGCACAATATTCATTCACAAGTATTCACAATTCAATTCAATTCAATTCAAAGATACTTTATTCACATATATACAAAAGTATACATGAATGGCGTTCAGAACAATACATCATACATTATATCGCCTAATAACTAGATAGAAAATAGATACATTATACATATATTTAAAATAAATATTCATTTAAATAACCTTAAACCATAGACTAACCAACACAAGTAGACTTCTCATCCCATTGTAAATTTTGAAGCACGTTTTTCGTGTCTAGTTCATGTACGGTGACACTGGGCGCTAGTGTCGCCGAAATTTTGTTTCTATTATTTTAGGGTTAATTTCTTGATTTGTGCTTTACTGTTTGGTTATATAACTAGGGGACAAGTTATTGTTTATGATTAGATCTTATTATGTGGTTAAGAGTGAAAATTTAAAAACGTACGTTTTCATGTCCCTGGCCTTTTACTTCGTAGATACTGGATTTGTAGTTTATTATTGTGTTTTTATATTTTTTGGGACGGGGCAACATGTTACACACATTTATTTAGTTTTAAATAGGTTCTAGGTATTTTTTTTGTATTTTTTAAGTCTCGAAATTCACGACCATGTCCCTAGGGTACATTTTCCAACTTTCACGCTGTTTTTAGACTAATTATTCATGCCGAAATATATAAAGCCATATATATTTTTATGTCATCAATGGTTATTAAAAGGAGCATATTATAATTTTATTGTCATTGCAAACTGACTACCATGACAAAATAAGTCTGTCCCTCAATTTGGCGTCACGACCAGTTGGGAATAATTTTCAACTTTGGAGCACGACAGTGGCAAGCCAGTCGATGTAGTCAGTTGGTTTTAGAGACTAGTTCGGGGTGTACGTCAGGATTGTAGTGCCGGTCGTTTCAAGTTGAAAGGAGGAATTGCAAGATTAATAAAGGAAAGATAGTGTTTTTTGTAATTTTGGTGTGTCCATGACCGTACGTAGTCATTCGATGAAGTAGACATGGTGTTAATTTTTGTTTATAAGATATTTCAATTGCTATATTAACCTAGAAGTCCACTTTGTATCCTCGAACATGAGGTGCAGGGCTACCGCCAGAACAGAGCCAAATAACACGTAATTTCACGACCATCGCGGGTTTTTTCACGACTAATCCAGCCTTATGGATTAAAGTGTGTTTGGTCGTGACAATAACTTTAATATAATTGTAAATTGAACAGTTTAGTTCAATTGAAACACATATTTTTATTATAACTAACAGTATAATTGAAGGATTGTTTAGAAAGATTTAGATTACCTATTTCAGACAATTCACGACCGTACCGCTTGTCCCTGACCATCACGTTTATGATTTCTATCATAAAAATTTCAAAAATTAAAATATCGTCATATTTCAATGTTTTATACACAAAAGAAGCACACCTCTTTACAAACATAACGATTTTTTGGATCTCAGGTAAGTTTTTTCGGAGTTATACAAACTTAAAAAGATTTTATTGGCTTTTTTTCAATTTTTTGAGTTTTTTTATAGAAAGACCAAATACACCAAAAGCTCAGTGACCTTTTTATTGTCTAATGGTCAAAAAAGTAAGTTAGTTTGTCTGTGAGAACGAGGTAGAAACCTCAGAACACTTATGGCTGGACTGTCCAGCGTTGGCCCATAGAAGGCTTACATCTCTGGGGAGGTTATTCCTGGAACCAACAGAGATAAGGAAGCTGGGTGTCTTTCAGCTCCTGGGCTACTTGAGAAGCCTAGGGCTGTCAGAATGAATTAAAGGGTGCTACAAAAGGTCTCCAGGCCGAAGTAGCTAGGGGTATGCCATTACCCCAGCCCCCACAAAAAAAAAATAAAGTTAGTTTATAGCAAAACATAGTTATAAAAATAATATTGACTATTTTTAATATTCATTTAAACGTCCGTTATGGTCGTGACACGATTTTGTGTTTTTCCACTAAAGATGCTCTTTAAAAAAAAAAACTACCAAAGATATTGTGTTACCATGGACATTTTATGAAACTTCAAATGTTAATGAAATAAAAAAACTGATAAAAGTTTTGAAAAAAGGGGAAAAAGTTTTGCAAAGTGCTTTTCCTGAAAACGTACGTTTTAAATTTTCACTCTTAAATGAGGTTTTAAATTACTGTAAACAAATTGTAAACAAAACACGACCTCCTACATAAACCGTACAGAACTAACAATAAAATTGTCTTCAGCTGATCCATAAGGATGAGAAATCTACTGAGGGAGAATGTTTTATCTATGCTTAAACACAAAAAAATTCCTTAAAACTGACACCACTGATTTCTTGCGCTTTGGCCGCAAGAAATCTTTTTAATTTTTTTTCAAAGCATTTCAAACTCTTTTCAGATTTTATGATTTCAGGAAGGTAGTTATAGTATTTTATCCCAGAAACAGTTGGATTTTTGTTTGAAATTGCTTTTTTAGAAATATTAATTTGAAAATTTTCCCGATTTCTTGTATTATATGTGTGAACTATTCGTTGTCTTGGCAAAGTCTCTTCATTATTTTTTACATGTAATACTGTTCTATAATTATAAAGACTAAAGACAGTCATAATTTTCAGATTACGAAATTGATCTCTACAACGATCCTCATCAGGAAGCTTAAGCGTAGTCCTAATTACAATTTTTTGAAAATGTAAGATTCTTTGTAGATTGCATAATAATTGATGTTGCACCATAAAGCTCTATACCATAAAGAATGTGTGAGTGAATTAACGAATAATAAACTGATTTCAATGAGTCCAAATTACAAAAAGGGGCCAGTCTTCTCAATGCAAAATTGCCTGAATTAATTTAAAAACATACTTTCTCAACATGTTTTGTCCAGTTAAGAGTGTGATCTAATTGTAGGCCCAAAAAAGTAGTATTATCAGAAAGTTGAAGCTGCGCACTATCCAAATGATTTAATTTAGAAATATCTTTACACTTAAAATTAATTATCGTGGTTTTATTTTTATTCAATAGTAAGTTAAGATTACATAGTTCATCATTAACTTGATCAATTTCTTGTTGAGACTCTGCCAAGACACTATACCAACTTTTTCCACTGATAGTAAAGATTAATATCATCTGCAAATAAACAAAAATGATTATGATTATTTAAACTCAAAGTAGAAAGAGATTTTGGCAAACCACTCAAATAGCATAAAAATAGTACAGGGCCCAAAACAGACCAGACAACAGTCTGTATATGTACTAAATGAACCTCAGAATCTAAAATATGTTCTATATAATGCGGCAAATTCATATACAGCAACCATAATATACGTAAATTGTTTTCATTGTTGCGGCCCGTAAAAAAGCCAGAGTCCTGTGAAATTTTACTGTATACAGTACTGAAATTTTACAACTTACTGTACTGTCTATATTAAGCACTATACGGGAACAAACTGTTACTAACTATATATCATTTTTAAGCTTAGATTGTGTACTACAACTTTTTACCTGAAACATTTTGTTGTGCGACCTCATTTAAAAAATCTAAGGAAAGGTTTCATCAAATTTTACTAATATTATAAATCTGAAAGTTTGTGAGTTTGTGTGTGTGTTTGTGTGTGTGTTGCTCAATCACGCATAAACTACTGGACGGATTGGGCTGAAATTTGGCATGATGATAGCTCACATTCCTGATTAACATTAAAGCATATTCTTATCTCAAAAATCCTTTTGGGCTCCACCCCAGTGGCTCTGGGGTTTCCCATGTTAACCTTATGAGTACTCATATTTAAATGGAATTAATGACCTTAACAGCTGTTTCAATTAAACAAGTTGGTTCTGTTCTATGATGTTCAATAGCATCAAAGTTACAAGGATTACCAATAGGGTGCAGCACTATTATTTTTTTTATTTATGACAACAGCTAATTTCCAACCAAAAGGTGAGTGAGCGTAGCGAACGAACTTCAACCTGGAGGCGAGTTAGCGTAGCGAACGAGCTAACCTGAAGTCAAGTGAGCGCAGCAAACGAGCTCCAACCTAAAGGTGAGTGAGCGTAGCGAACAAACTTCAACCAGGACGTGAATGAGCCATGCGAATACTTATGAAGTTAAACGGGGCAAAGCCCGCGGGTACAGCTAGTTAAACAATAAAAATAAAATGTTTATGTTTATGTTATTTTTTTGCGATATATGAATATTTAGGCTAACATGGTAAATACACTTTTTGTAGAAAATCTTATCGCAAAAAGGATTAACAATAGATTGCATTGCTATCCTTACCTGTCTTGAAGTTATAGCTCATTTTCTAAGAGACTGTAAATGTATCTAAAAAGTGGGGTTGAGAAGAAAGCACAAGGGGGAGAAGCGGGGACTTTTGGGAAAATGAAAATACACATCTCAACAAGGTCTAAACAGCATAGAAAAATCCAGCTTTCCCAGAATTACTTCCGGCATCTGCCTTATTTATACCATTGACTGGGCTATTGTTTTGAACTGCTCTCCTAAGGTTGCCAGTTTCACAGTACCGATCAGAGTTTATTGTTGCACCACGTCCAAGAAAGCACCTTGCCTGTTCCTAAAAACCGTCGCCGTAATCTTCCTTTCTGACAATATTTGCAAACATTTTCTTGTTTTTTTTTGGGGGGGGGTGCATGTGTGCCCCCACTCCATGGACTGTAATTTTGTTTCGCAATTAACCTTTTTACCCATGTCTCATCACGATGCGATCTAGTAGTGAATCACCATGTCTGTCGTAGGAATCCAGAAATGTCAAAGCTGCCCCGAGTCGCTGACCTTTATGGTGGTCAGTGAGCATTTTTGGCACTCATATTGCACAAAATTTGTGTTAGCTTAACCTTTGTGTGACAATTTCAAATAACAAGTCCGTGAAACTTGTGGGAAACAAAGCAAAAGCTCCGTTATTGTGAAACGCCGGTTTTTGCAAACCTTTTCATCAACTTTAGCAATAGTTCATCAGTCACAATGCTCGGGCGTCCGCTCTTCGCTTTGTCATGAACGAACGTCATGAAACTGAATGCACCATTTTCGCACAAAACTTTCATTCATTACATTGATTCCGTAAACTTCCCACACTTGGTGATACATGTCTATCATCGGCACTGACCGCACCGCACAACTGGCGGGATTTTCAATCACAGCGCACATCTTCAGTTGAAATTGCAAAAAAAACTGGCAGTGCGGAGATGTTCCCGTTGTCACGGCTGGACACCAACTGAGTTGCCGAGTGTTTGGTGCGCACCACCAAAATGTACAAGCAGCGTTAGAAGAAACTTTCCTTGCTTTCCGAATAGCCCTCGCAATAAAATAATTTTACTATTTTATATACACATAAATAAATGGATGAAAAATAGATGAAGCTTATTGTCAACTCCTCAATATAAAAACTCTGAAAATTTAAACAGTATGATTGTTTTTTAATAATATTTGTTGCCATAGTTAGCATCATATTCTAGTTTTGAATAACAAAATTTTGTAAATTTAAAAAGGAAAACTTAAAGGTTTGACCTTTTACCAAAAGTTAAGAACAGCCAAGGTTCCCTTTCCGACAACTATTAGCTTAGTGAATGACTGATTAACAAAAACTGAGTCTTTTGTATATGGGCTTGTGAAAACATAAGTCAATTGTAAACATTTTCGTCTGTTCTTGATGTCCCATACTTCCTTCCTTTTAGTTTTTGACACAGATATCAAAGACTTTGGAGTAGTTATTATTAAGCTACCGTCAAACACATTAAGTAACTCTATTTTACCACAGTCAAATTTGAATGAAAGAACAGTGTCGAGTGTTAGAAGGTCAACAAGGTACACACAAAAAGCAGTAGCCAATAAGAGTTGATTGTTCACAACTTTAGATTGTTTGTGGCAGACTAACTCTGGAAAAGTTTTCTCTCCAATTATTACACCCCACTTATAGTCATACAGAACTATTACAGTCTTAGGTAATGATGGATCTTCTATGAAATAGTTGTGCAAACGACAAAATAATATAATGAGGTCTCTATGTAGAACAGCATGAAAAGGGACATATGTAGTAGAAGAACCTTTTGTATTGGTCCAAAAAGTTCTGAAAAAATCTCTTGAAAAACTATAAGTCAAAACCTCATAAACTGTACCTAAAGCATTGTATTGCCTTTGTGGATCATTAATTTCCAAACAGAGTGTCAAATCATTTCCGTTCCTTGCAGCACATAGGACATCAAAATCATTCCCAGCTTTTGGAGGTTCTAAAGCAACTATCTTTTTCCCCGTTTGTGTATCCCAAATGTGAATTACAGGCTTGCCGACCTTGTGGCTGTAAATTTTTGTTTCTATGATTTTGTGGTAGCAAACAGTATACATTTCTTCGGGAGTGGTGAATTCTGGAATCTTGTGCATCGGTTCACACTGGTCAAACAAAATGATATAGACCAAAGGTAAATTCTTATCGGGGAGATTAATGCCATACATCTGAATAAGCTTCCCTACTTCTACAATGACAAGCTTGTCTCCAGCTACTTGATAGTGTAATCCCTCATAGAAGTAGTTATGGTAAAGTAATCGAACACTAGTGTGTCGAAATGGAATGTCTTCAATATTCCAAACAACTATCCTATGTCCATAAAAATCGTATAGAAATAAATACACATTTTCATAAATAATAGGGGTCCCACTTTTCAAACACATGTAGTAAAGCCCTGTCGATGAATTAACTTTATGTTCCACAAACCTTCCATTCTTCCAGTTATTTAACAGTTGGTTTTGGTGCATATAGTTGGTTCGCTCATTACACATTGGGTCCAAGTCATGTCTTATATAAGATATTCCATAAGATGTATCAACTTTTGGCTTTGATTTTGTTATGCACTTTGTTATATTATTTTTACAAAACCTCCGCCAGATGAGATCATCGTTCAGTACTGTTCTGAGTCTAGAACAGGCTGCTGAGCATGCCAACAAATCTTTTGCTGTTAAGAATTGAGCAATTAAGTGTAGAATTTCTGCAGGTAAGCACTCTAATGCAGACATTTCTCTTTTGTTTTCCTGAAAAAAAAAAACAAACAGGTTTATAGCTAAACAGAAATTCTTGAACTAAATAGTTACTACAGTACACCATAGTCGTTCTGAACTTCTTGATCAGCAAAATACGTACCATATTGTTAATTTTACCGAATGAAAATAAAAATATGTCTTATACTCTGTTGACTCACAGGAGGGTAAAGAGGGCAGGTGGTGAAAAATTTGGATTGGACACTCCTAATCATCATCAGAGACCAAATAGGCAAATGGAATTGATTGACCTTTCTGTACTCCATCAATATAAAACTAATTACGGTACGGTACCTATAGCCTGGATAAATTAATTTTTACATGAGAGAATACCGTCCAGTGGTGTAGTGGGACAGGAAAACGTGGGTACAGCATTTTTTAGTAAGGGCCAGTTGTGCGTATAGCTTCTTAGTTTGTATGTTTGCCGCAATGAGGCTCCTCGTGGCTTATTGGCTTTAATTGGTGAACAAAACGGCACCATTTGTAGCTCTTTAGCTGACGATTACATTTTGACGTGTGTCTAGAAAATTTTAAATGGTTGAATCCCCACCATATGTGAGAAAAGGTCAGTGATATGTTTTTGAACTGTAAGAAACGTATAGGCTTTTATTGCAGCTGACTAAAGTGTATGGCCTTAATACATTGAGTGAGGGTAAAGTGTAGAAACGAGTTAGGGAATTTTAAAATAGCCGTGAAAATATCCATTTTGGAAGGAATTTTTTGTGAGTACCCATATTTTTTATAGAAGACCACAAAGGAAAATTATTTTACGGCCATTTTTACGCCCCCTAACCCATTTCCGCACCTTAGCCTCTTTCTCTGCATTAGGGCCATATCATTCAGTCATACAGGGTGAGTTTCTACTAAGTGCGTTAATTTTTACCAGTTATTCTACTCACTAAAAGGAACACAAATTTTCCAACCCTACCCGTTAGGCTGTAAGGGCCGATTATATGAATTTTTTAAATTACCTGGAGTAGCTTTAATAAAACGAGCATAGAAATCAAACCATTACATGTACATCATTATAACTTATACCAATGAAAAGAACGTTAAATTTCCTACAAAACCATTGCAACATCTTTAACAAACGACCATATTTTCATCGTTGTATGTCTCACATAAGATAAATAAAGAAGTTTGTAAATTACTTCTTTACAAATTCAAAGTGGTGTTACAACCATTAACACTAATGTGATGTTTTGTCAAATTACGTAAAAAACTTTCGCATTTCATGCCCTTTAAAATGATGTAACCCATAAGGTGATTGCTGTATTTAAAAATCGAAAAATTAGATCAAAACTGCGTCAAGGTCAGTGTTTTCGGAATCAAAACATTGAACCCAATGTAATACAGTATCTGTTAATGTCTTTACCATCTTTTAATCAGCTGAGATCTGATGAGCTGGGTGTTAAAACTTTGTTTACAAAACCATCTGATTTCAATTGTTGGCTTGTAAACATTCAAATTATTAACTATTTCATTATTTTATAATTCTATGACAAAAATTCAGAATAAATTTGATAAAAATCGAGGTATAATACATTTTTACATATAAACAAAATAAATCCTGTAGAGTCTGGTTTTTGGGTTTTTAATCAAAGTAAATTTTCAAAATGCCCATCATTTTTGCTCTAATACATGTGCACATTCTTTTCCAAAAGTTTCTTACTGTTGCCTTTAATTTTAGCTCCTCTTGAAGAAGGTTGTAAGCTTCAGTCCGATTTCTTAGCTCATCCGCTGTTTGAACTGGTGTTCGGTAATTTCCATGTTTGAGGTAACCTCAAGCGTAGAAGTCCATTGGAGTCTGGTGACTGTGGTGGCCAAGCAATTGATCCACCCCTTCTAATCCACATGTAACGAAACTATTTCCAATGTAAATTGGCACACCATTATCGGAGTGGGAGGTGCACCGGTGCACCATATGCTTGTTATAAACTATTTGCTGACGCACATCCAACGGGACGTTTTCAATGAGCCTTGGTAGAGTATCAGCATAGATTAAAGGAGTATACTCCTTTAATCTATGGTATCAGTAAAGACGTTGAGATACTGACAGCAGTTAAATGAATATGGAAGATCAATGAAAGGGCCAAATAAATGGTTTTAGAGTAATCTATCCCATACATTCAGTTTAAACCTTGTTTGGTTTTTACACTGGTGTATAACATGTGGGTTTTCTGTGGCATAATTATGTCCATTATGGATGTTGTAAATACCATCCCATATCTTAGACTCGTCCGTCCAGAAAATCTTCTTGAAGAAGTCACGATGATAAAGTCAACTAACAGAGCGACATAACTGAAGTCTCTGTAGACAACCTATTGGTTCAATGATCTGTTGTACTCGTGTGAAATGGTAGGAATGCAATTTTCCTTTTTCAATAGCTGAGAAATACCTAGGTCACGAGAAACTGTCCTTGTTCTTGTCCGTGGATCGTCCTCAAACCACCCCAACACATCAGACACAGCTTCTTAAACAAACACACACACATCTTGTATCACGTTCCCAACAGAACGATGTTTAGTGTTCATGGAAACTTGTATGGACACTGGTGAATCTTCATTCATTTGAAAGTCACCTATCAGCAAACTGACGACTGTATTCAGGACAAATTATAGCCGCATTTGAGAGCAGAACCCATAAAATAAAACCATATCGAGATACATACTTCTTGATAATTTGAATGTTTACAAGCCAACAATTGAAATCAGATGGTTTTATAAACAAAGTGTAACACCCAGCTGATCAGATCTCAGCTGATTAAAAGATGGTAAAGACATTAACTGATACTGTATTACATTGGGTTCAATGTTTTGATTCCGAAAACACTGACCTTGACGCAGTTTTGATCTAATTTTTCGATTTTTAAATACAGCAATCACCTTATGGGTTACATCATTTTAAAGGGCATGAAATGCGAAAGTTTTTTACGTCATTTGACAAAACATCACATTAGTGTTAATAGTTGTAACACCACTTTGAAGTTGTAAAGAAGTAATTTACAAACTTCTTTATTTATGTTATGTGAGACATACAACGGTAAAAATATTGTTGTATGTTAAAGATGTTGCAATGGTTTTATAGGAAATTTAATGCTCTTTTAATTGGTTTATGTTATAATGATGTACGTGTATTGGTTTGATTTCTATGCTGGTTTTAGTGAAGCTACTACAGGTAATTTTAAAAATTCACATATTCGGCCATTACAGTCTAACGGGTGAGGTTGGAAAATTTTTGTTTGGCATTTTTTGTTCCTTTTAGTGAGTAGAATAACTGGTAAAAATTAACGCACTTAGTAGAAACTCACCCTGTATACAGTAGCGATGGATGTCGGCATCAGATATCTATATAATTAATACGCTACATGAAACTTTGTCGGTTGAACTCCTCCGCCATTTCTTAACCGATTTTATCCATTGACGTCTCATTGGAAAGAGCGTGTCGCGTAGATTTGCAAACTGGCCTTACATTTTTGAAAAAATCCCTTGGGCTCTGCCCCAGTGGCTTTGAAAGTTCCCATGTTATCCTTATGAAGAACATAATTGTTTACATTTTGATCAGCTGTATAATTTAATTGCTGTTATTTTTTTTTAATTCAATGAAATGCGTTGAGTACATTTATTTACTATTTGAGTTTGTGTAAACATAACCCCCAAGACGGATCGTGTTAGTATGGTTGTATCTTAAATTTGTGTATTTATCGTTGTTTTGTGTCGCTATGACGGATCGTGTTAGCATGATTGTAATTAAAATTTGTGCATTCATCGTTGTTTTGTGTAGCTATAATTTGTTTATTTGTTGTTTTTTTATGCCTCCGACGCGACGACAACGAAACATAAACAGGAGGCGTAATCGTGATAACGACCGCAGCTACAGAAACATAACAGTGTGGTGCGTAATAGGCTTAACTCATCACAGTCAGCACCTGACCCTGGACAAACTCAACTATTAGGTTAAGGTTACAAATGCGCCCTTTAACACTACCCCAAAACGACTTTTCGTTCTCAATTAGTTCTCTATCATGACCTGTGTTGCCTGTACAGCGAGGCATTTTAAGAATGAGAAAACTGGCCGGAATGCTTTAGGTTTATCAATAACGAAGATAAACATGGTTTGAGTTACAGTACACACCGGTAATCTTATTGAGTTGAGTTTTTTAAACACATTGTAAATATGACTGTTATTCGTTTTGAAATAATTCCTGTAATACTTTGCAATTGCTCGAATTCGAGCAACATGTACACTAGTACCTATTTATTTTGGTACACGCGGACAACGGAGCTATACGCAAAAACAGCCCTTGTACATAATAAGAATCCCTTGTGGAATAAAACAACATCTTCAGAACAGTCTAATTTAAAATACCCCCGCCGCAGCAAACCTGCAGACTAAGCGAATTTCCATATGTCTGATTGGATTTACACTAAAATGTCTACTTAAAAATTTAACATTTATTTCCTATTTAAATAGAATTATTTTAACAGGTTCTTAGGTTTGCTGCATCAGGGAGGGTAAAACTTTTTTTTGTAAAATGTTAATAGTTAGTAAGAAATAAAAACATTTTCCAAATTTGATCAAAATATGTTCATAAACAAGCAAACTACAACAGTTTACTCATTCTCCATAAGAATAACATGGGAATTTAAAATTTACATTTTTTTGGAATTTTCTTCGTAACCATTAGGCGCATACTAACACTTCAATATACTAAATTATTTGTTTTTTTAAGCTCTACAAAATGGTTTGAAAAGATTTTGCAAAATTTTATTTTTTTTGGGTCAAAAATGGGAAAAACCTATTTTTACCCCATAAAACCCCCCGTAAACCCCCGTTCCCATAGTCCGATCATGCTGGTTCGCGAACTCGTTCGAGTTTATCCCGCCTTACACCTTCAAACCAAATTTTATCAAAATCGGACAAAAATTACTCAAGTTATCGTGCGGATGGACATATATATATATATATATATATATATATATATATATATATCT